TACACCACTCATCATACACCACTCATCATACACCACTCATCATACACGACTGATCACACACCACTCATCATACACCAGTCTTCATACACCGCTCATACACCAGCTCTGGTGTCAACAGCTCAAGCTCCAGGCAACTCCAGCTCCACGTGCAGATTTCGTGGCAGGTGCAGCACTTTGTGAACCTCCATGTGCAGATTTCGTGGCAGGTGCAGCACTTTGTGAACCTCCATGTGCAGATGTCGTGGTAGGCGCAGCACTTTGTGAACCTCCATGTGCAGATTTCGTGGCAGGCACAGCACTTTGTGCACCTCCATGTGCAGATTTCGTGGCAGGCGCAATACAAAATGCGTTGCGGAGAGATAGCGAACGCACGAAATGCTGTATTTTTCAATGGAACCGGTGGCTCCGAAGCTGGCAAGTCAAGGTCTGCGGAACGACGGTTGCGAGACGGTCTCGGGTCATGCTCGGATCATGCTCGGATCCTGCTCGGATCATGCTCGGAATCGTCCGTCCATGGGGATTAGAGGTTTCACTTGTTTCTTGAAGTGAAGATTTCGTGGCAGGTGCAGCACTTTGTGAACCTCCATGTGCAGATTTCGTGGCAGGCGCAGCACTTTGTGAACCTCCATGTGCAGATTTCGTGGCAGGCACAGCACTTTGTGCACCTCCATGTGCAGATGTCGTGGCAGGTGCAGCACTTTGTGAACCTCCACGCGCAGATTTCGTGGCAGGCACAGCACTTTGTGCACCTCTATGTGCAGATTTCGTGGCAGGCACAACACTTTGTGAACCTCCATGTGCAGATTTCGTGGCAGGTGCAGCACTTTGTGAACCTGCATGCGCAGATGTCGTGGCAGGTGCAGCGCTTTGTGAACCTCCATGTGCAGATTTCGTGGCAGGCGCAGTACTTTGTGAACCTCCATGTGCAGATTTCCTGGCAGGCACAGCACTTTGTGAACCTCCATGTGCAGATTTCGTGGCAGGCACAGCATCTGGGGAGCTGGAAGCTGAGAACTGGCGACTTTGTAGTACAACTTTAGTACGCGGAGTATCTGGCGAGCTGGACGATGAGAACTGGCGACTTTGTAGTACAACTTTACTACGCGGAGTATCTGTGGAGCTGGAAGCTGAGAACTGGCGACTTTGTAGTACAACTGTAGTACGCGGAGTATCTGGCGAGCTGGACGATGAGAACTGGCGACTTTGTAGTACAACTTTAGTACGCGGAGTATCTGTGGAGCTGGAAGCTGAGAACTGGCGACTTTGTAGTACAACTTTAGTACGCGGAGTATCTGTGGAGCTGGACGATGAGAACTGGCGACTTTCTAGTACAACTCTAGTACGCGGAGCAATCTGTAGAGCTGGAAGCTGAGAACTGGCGACTTTCTAGTACAACTTCAGTACGCGGAGCAATCTGTAGAGCTGGAAGCTGAGAACTGGCGACATTGTAGTACAACTTTAGTACGCGGAGTATCTGGCAAGCTGGACGATGAGAACTGGCGACTTTGTAGTACAACTTCAGTACGCGGAGCAATCTGTGCAGCTAGAAGCTGAGAACTGGCGACTTCGTAGTACAACTTTAGTACACGGAGTATCTGGCGAGCTGGACGAGGAGAACTGGCGACTTTGTAGTACAACTTTACTACGCGGAGTATCTGTGGAGCTGGATGGTGAGAACTGGCGACTTTCTAGTACAACTTTAGTACGCGGAGCAATCTGTAGAGCTGGAAGCTGAGAACTGGCGACTTTGTAGTACAACTTTAGTACGCGGAGTATCTGGCGAGCTGGGCGATGAGAACTGGCGACTTTGTAGTACAACTTTAGTACGCGGAGTATCTGGCGAGCTGGGCGATGAGAACTGGCGACTTTGTAGTACAACTTTAGTACGCGGAGTATCTGTGGAGCTGGAAGCTGAGAACTGGCGACTTTCTAGTACAACTTTAGTACGCGGAGCAATCTGTAGAGCTGGAAGCTGAGAACTGGCGACTTTCTAGTACAACTTTAGTACGCGGAGCAATCTGTAGAGCTGGAAGCTGAGAACTGGCGACTTTGTAGTGCAACTTTAGTACGCGGAGCAATCTGTGCAGCTAGAAGCTGAGAACTGGCGACTGTGTAGTACAACTGCAGTACGCGGAGCATCTGGGGAGCTGGAAGATGAGAACTGACTGGCGACTTTCTAGTACAACTTTAGCACGCGGAACAACCTGTGGAGCTGGAAGCTGAGAACTGGCCACTTTGTAGTACAAGTGTAGTACGCGGAGGAGTCATTTGTCGGTGCTGAGTCAGCTCTCGCTGCTGTGAGTCATCTCTCGCTGCTCATTTATCTCTCGCTGCTGAGTCAGCTCTCGCTATAGCCATCTCTCGCGGCTGAGTCATCTCTCGCTGCTGAGACATCTCTCGCGGCGTGCAGGTTTGGCACAGTTCATACTGATAGTATTTGGTTGCATTTATGCAGGACAGGACATTCAACTGCTGGTCAATACACCACTCATCATACACCACTCGTCATACACCCCTCTTGTCGTGGCAAAGATACAACCCAGTACGCTGTTGTGAGCTGCTGATCCTGCAGGGGGCACAAGTCCGGAGCGCGTGCACTTGACTGGAGGACGCTCATGTTGGAGAGAACGTGGACACTCCTATAGGTCAATTTGTTCTTATATGAAACTTCCGCCGCCGGCTTGCCCGGGAACTACTTGTATACTTTCTATTCAGAAAAGACCTGTGAGCAGGGGTGGTATTATCTCGCCCGATTTGGCCCTAGGCCGAGGCGCATCGCGCCTGTGCCCATTGGTGCCGGGGCCTCACTGTGGAGACTGCCTTTCCATTATCTCACTGTGATGCTGGAAAAGAGAGGTCGAGAGAAAACCAGAATCCTGACAGTTCTTGTCCATTCCATGAACGCGAAGATGGATTCTCCAGAATCCGGGGCTTCAATCCTTTGAGCCGTGGGAAGTCATCAAGCAGGAATGAGACTTGTAGAGTCCAGTGCTGATACTCCGATTCCAACCTGAGGGGCTGTGGAGATGGCCTGGTGGTCCACCACTACCCGCAGATGTGGAGCCGATGCCACAGAGGAACATTGAAAAGCTGGAGTAGAGCACTCCTACAGAAACTGTGTTTTTCTAATTAGTGTTGTTGAAACTGTGCGTCAATTTGTTTCTATGAATATGGACTCGAAGCACCGTACTGGAGGAAGGCACCAACCATACCTCAGGTCGATCATCACAGTGACAACAGCCAGTATACCGCCATCAGCCTTATCTGTATCAATCTCAGAAAGAACACAAAACGATATACACGCCTTCACAATTCACGACTGATTACGACGTGAACATGAACTTGGAAACTTTTTTTCAGCACCATGACGTTCAGTTTCTTTTGTTCCTTGACGTTGGTGGCTCGAAGCCGCCACCGGCCAAAACGAGGTCCTCAGTCGGAGTTCCCCGGCATTGACAAAGAGTCAGCTGGCTCCGTCTCTTCCACAGGCGAGATCAATCAACATGAATTAGTTGATTCAATTGGATGCCGTTTTCCGTTGTCTTTCTTGGTGTTTGGGGTTCTACACATCAAAATGTTACAAACTACATCAACTCAACATACATACGAGGTTCCAGATGGTCCCAAAAACTCTTCAGCTGGCTTTCCTTCAGTTTGTCCAGGCTACGCCGCCGGTAGGCCGGGAGAAGATCTATCGCGTTTCAGATGATTCCGTTGGTGCAAACCACAAGACTGATACATGATTGGCTGTATCTAACACACCTTTGGTGTTCTGATGGACTGTTAGAAGCTGCCTCCTGATGTGCTTCGGATATTTTTTAGAGGGAGCAGGACGGCGTAAATGTGTGATACTGGTAGGAGAAAAAGTGTGATTTCTCTTCGTAGATGGATTCAATGGGGCAGGTATCCCCATGAAAGCAGCCGATGGAAACCTGCAAGGATACCATCGCATAAAGACTGCCGAAGGTCCTGGGCTAAGGAAGAGCCTTTGAGCAAATGCATGGACACTGACTGCACAGGGCTTGCTGACGTCGGTGGGATTCAGTCGCCGATGAAAATTGGGAACCAAACGTTCATCGAAGAGCATTCCACTTGGAAGTCCGGCCTGCGGAACGTCCATTGGACCGGTGCCGACGCATCGGGCACCCGAGGCTCAGGCCAGGCACCCGAGGCACCCGGTCCTCGCCAAAGGCGATGAAAGCCTCGGTGTGGAGCCTCGGTCAGGTGGGACGAATGATTGCACAGACCTTCAGTCATGGAGTTTCCCGGATTGCCCCAGTCTTCGGGTATGGGAAGAACAAGTGGGTGAAGATGAAAGCTGCGCACTGCAAGGTATCAAAAGGTTGCCACGTCACATCGTTGATTCACCACCAACGATCTTCTGCCAAGCAAGGATGATCAAGCCTCAAAGACCATTGATTCGTTTCAACCACCTGTTCAACGAGGTATCAGAACGAATCAGCCAAAGAAGGCCAGGCTGTTGGGGCAGGAGCGCGGTTTCTCTCATGTTCCCTTGAAGTGGTTTGAAACAGGGCATCCCCTTAGCAAAGGGCAAATAGATTGTACACAATTCAATCAAGATAATCAAGCACTGTACGCTCACCTTCATGATACTGTGTGTGTGTACATTTGCTTGGACAAGGTGACCATCATCACAGTTGCTATGGCTATGGCTACCATACTATTTGCAGAGCAACTAGCATTCATGATTGGAGACTGTCCAAGGCAGTGTGGGATTTTAACTGCTTATATAATTGTCAAACGCAGAACATGTAAAAACACCTAGCTATAGGCTATAGCTATAGCTAATAAACTCAGTTCACAGATGGATGGAGGCGCTGGGTGTTCTCACCAGCGCGCATGCGCGCCTTGAATCGCGGATGGACACGAAAGCTGCGCTGCTCACCTTGAAGATGCGGCGCGTAACGTCAAAAAGGACTAAAAGACCTTGGATTCAGTTTGTACATTGGCACAGAAGGTCATTATATAGACTGGTGAGAAGTGCCTGGATAATCTTCCAGTCCAACACTTGCTATGTGCATTGATTAGTTACTTGTCAGTGTTCCACTGGATGCTTTGAAAGCAAATTGCAAGGGTGTGATATATAATGAACACCGACGGGTTTGACACTTGGGCAAGAAAGTTGGAGCACTTGCAACCCACCCCTGTTGTTTGCAGTTTGGTATTAGGCTCACAAATAGTGGCAGAACCGTTAAGCTCGTTCGAATGGCAATGGCAAGGTTGTGGGTTCTTCTTCCACTGGCTTTGGCCTTTCCGACCCCACCAGAGCAGACCCAAGAGCAAGTTGAGATCTTTGAGAAGGCTAAAGCACGAGCCAAAGCTGCCAGTGAGGCAGCGACACCTCAGGTTTTGGCCTTTTTCGATGGGACGCTCTTCCGTGAGATGTTGAAGGACTGCTGTCCTGCTGTCGCACATCTTCCAGCATCAGAGTTGTTGAAGCGCTACCGGGCAGAGGCGCAGGTGGCTGAGTTGGCTCATGCCTTGCCTTCGGACAACAGTGGACAACGAACACCATCTGCGGATGTCACCATCTCAGAGCTTGGAAACATGTCTTGGTTTCCCAACGAGTACCAAGTCAATTTGATGAGTGGCAAGAACAGCTCCTCCAGAGGTGAGGACATTTCAGATGATGCGATGAAGGAGATTTTTGGTTGCAAAGCATTTGCTGGAGCCGTGCCCACCTGGTCGGAAGCTTCCAGTCGCTTGATTTATGTGGCACACAACATGCGACGGTTGGATACTGGCTCCGAGCCTCATTTTGGTGACTTCACGGTGATCTTCAACAGCAGCCGAATGAAGGATTCCGTGCTCATTGCGCCCTATGACACGGGCATGTACACCATGAACTGCTTACATCCTGGTCTTCATCCTGGATCGCAGACTAAGACACAGTCTTCATCAGGGCAACCAGGTCCTCCTGGCCCGCCGATGGCCGATTTGAATTGCACCGCCTGGAGCAAAGATCATAAAGTTGATCTTCCTGTCGGAACCCTAGACTACCTGGATCACTTGATCTTGCCTAACCTTTGGTCTGCCATCAACACCACTGTGAGCAATCAGACTGTGCTCGATGCTGCACGAGTCCTGTTCAGCCGGAGCGGCATCTCCGGCATTGACTATGAGGATGTGCCAGCCATGAAGGAAAGCGAGCGCAATGATTATTTCGAGTCAGACATCTTGGCAAATCCTCCGGTGCCTGCAGCAGTGAAGCTGGGCATTGGCAGCTTTGCAACGCTCTTTGGCACCGAAGAGGGCAGACAGTTGCAGACGATGGCCTTACGCTACAAGTGGCCACTGTTTTGGGCCTATGGCGAAGGCACCCAAACAGGTCCTCCACCTCCTCAGAGTCAGAAGGTCAAGAGCCAGAAGCTGAATCGGCGCATGGCTGATCCTTCCAACATCGTGAAGACCACCAATGCCTCGGTGAGTAGCAGTGCGGCCAAGCAGTTCGAAAACGTGTGGCAGGAAGCAGTGGAAGCACGCGCCAGTCGGCAGGTGACAGATGAGGATTTGCTCCAATGGTGGAATTCCTTGGACCAAGAGCTGAGGGTGGCACCAGTATCTGCAAGCTCATGTGCGCAGCCACACCATTGTGTTGGGGTTGATATTGCCAAGAAGGACTGCATTTGCAAAGTGCAGGATGAAATCTTCATGGTTTAGTGACCCTGGCCACCTGGGCCTCGCGGCGTGCACTTGGCACGTCGTCGAGAAGCTGATGCTGCTGTGGCAAATTTTGCATTTCGCTTTGCTTCAGCCAGCGCTGCGCAAGAAGGGTAATTTGAATGAATTCTTCGCCCCTTTTTTGCGCCAATCCAACCTATATCGATATTCCTTATCATGTCTTTTGGACAGATTATGGGAAAAAAAAAACATATTTAATATTTAAAGCCTTTGAACAATATATTCACTCACTTTGGGAAGGCCAACCGTTTTGACCTTTTGGCAGGTCACTTGCAATTTCCACGGTGGATTTGATTGTAGGGTTGCCTGTATTATTCAAGATATGAATTATATCCAAATAGTGGTTACGACAAATTCTCGCATGTGTGTACTGTAGGTGGGGGGAATCATTGGGGCGTCTTTGCCTTGTTTCTATTTGTTTTTCTATGTTCTTTCTTTTTTTTTTCTGAAGGGTTCTGAAATGTGAGTATGCCTGCATGATGGGGTGCATCAAAACAAAACAATCTCTTTAAGGGTCAGTGTTGCAAGCTGTGTTTATATTGCAATAACCTGCTCTTTCTTCTCTTAGGACGTCTTAGGAGTAATGAAACAAAGAGTCTGTTGGCTTCTCGTCTCTTTTCATATCTTCTTGTGCGGGCCAAAGAATCCCGATCGAAAGACCAATGACCACCAGAAAAAGCTTTGAACCGTACAAATGTTTCACCAAAATACCCACCGCCTTGGGTCATTGAGCACCGCTACTTACTCGTGAGCATCGTTCTACTTCTGGTGTCGATCTCATGGCGATGGCCCCTGATATTCCACCATCGAGGCACGCGCAGTCGCCAGGGTGCGGGGAAGTTGTTTCGGACTGCTGAGCGCAGGTTGGAGATAAAGAGTGGCACACCGCGGCAGAGTCGACCCAAGAAAGGTCTGATTTCCATCTCGTGGAGGCTAACTGTAAGTTCACTTCGTCCCATACCCACCCAGCATTACTGAATATACAATATGCTTTTTGTTCATACCAGCTCGAGTAGTTCTGAGAAGGGATCTTGAAAGTCCCTGGCCTTGCACAACTAAGTGCTGGAAATAGATTCTGGTCGCACAACTCACAACAAGAACGCTGAAACTAACACGTGCCTGACACCTATAGATGGAATTTTGGCCTCTGTCGAATTTAATTAATATATTTGAATATTTGAAGGAATATTATTCTATTTATTTTATACTAAATCTATATATATATATATTTGATTTAGATTTGAATAGATAATTTTAAATTAGAATTGATATGTTGGGAATATTTTTTTTATTCGAGTAATTTTTTTTTATAAATTAACAATATATATATATATATAATATGATTAATTAAGATATTGTTAAAATTTATAATAATTATTATATTGAATAATAATTATAATATGAATATAAAAATTAATATTAAAGGATAATATGTATAAATTAAATAATAAGAATAATATAAATATATATAGGTTAATGATAATGAATTGTTATGGATGATTTAATATTTTTAATTTTATGATTATGATTATTTAAATTATGGAATTATTATATTTAAAATAATTTATAAAAATTATTTGATGAGTATAAAAGATACGATTATTTGATATATTTTTTGTTTGAATTCATTTGCTATGGCAAGATTTATGAATTTCTTCATCTTCTCCCATTTAATGATATTCATATAATAGAAAGAATATTGCAATACATACAATTTATTGAAAATATTTTCCCATCTTGTTTTTTCGCTAGTTCCGTCGAATAGATTTTCTCGTATTTTTATTTTAATGTTCGAAAAATGGTAGCACCACGGAAAAGAATATTAATATAATAATGTATTATCGAATATTTAAATCTTTCTTGGAATTGAAAAATATAAAAATAGAATAAATAAATCCATGAACGACATTACCGCACTATTGACTACAACGACGAAAATTTAATCCATATTCGACACTATAATTTATATATTATTTGGAATCGATGAATATATATATTATTTTCTCATAAAATCATATATGATATAAACTAGATGATATGGAATCCTTCGTATAATATATTTTTAATTTCTTTCCATATATATATATAAAGACCAAATTATGTAATTAAATATTAATTCTTTTTATTTGAATAAATTACCCCTTTAACGTCGGAGATAAGTGCGTCTTGAGGGAAACAAATTTGAAGATATTGGATTCCTGGCAAAATATGAATCGATTAAATTCAAATATTGATGTCGTCATTTTTGTTCCGTCGTAATAAATTGTATTTATTTTCTCTAAAGAAATATATATTATTAATCCGATGGATTAAATATTTATTATCTATTCCAATTTCAGAGGTTCGTATTGCCTCCAAAATTGCATCCAAAGGATTGAACAGAGATATATATATAATGAAATTCTAAAGAATCCCTGGGAGGAGACGAAAATTGGCACATCTAGAATTTTTGAAGAATAATGATGGTTCTGTTTATAGATGCATCCCAGAAATACCTTCATCCGCATCCATTTCATCATCTTCATCATTTGGTAATTGATTCCATATGCGGAAAAAAATCCCATGAATATTATGAATTTCATGAGGCATATAATAGATGTAATATTATATACAAGGCTTATTATTTATAATTGCGCATAAGTTATGAAGAAAGATCATATTTTAATATTGCAAATAATATATATATATATAAAGATATTAAAAACAATTATAATCTATAAATTATTAAAAATATATAATTCAATTTTTATATTTAATATATATATATTATGAATTTCAGATAAATGAAAATTAATTCAATATGTATCATTTGCAAAAATATTTCATCATAATATCGATTAGAAGAATAAAATCCGCCAAATGCAGGCTTTTGATGATGATGAATATCGGTTATAGGAAATATATGATCATATTGATTATCACCTTATTCATCTTATTCATGATCAATTTGGAATATTCAGAAGATGTTCATTCCCCATCATATATCTTCAAATATTTGATTTGCCAATCGATTTGGACATCCCTTCGCCTCAAAATACACCGAAATAGATGAAGATTGAGGTCTCTTTGAATCCATCCACGGCATCGATGTTTATTCAACGGCCTGATCAATAACAATATCCAATTTCTAAAGAATATGCCCTATCTGATCATGAACCACGTCATATTATTCTATTGCCCGCTTGCCTTCCACCCACAAATCTGTCCAGGCGATGTAATTGCAAGGCCCTCAATTGTCATCCAATTGATTATATGTTTAATTGCATTTTACCGAAAAATCTTTCGACGTTGCCCGGCAGATTGCTGTTCCCATCAATCCCAATATATCCAAGATCCACCTCCGACATTTCCTCCCTTCTTCGTTTCTTATGCCTCGCAGCTGGCACGGGCTTTGCTTTTCACCGATGGATCAAATCAATCTCTAATCCTTCACGGCAATTCGCTTATGCGTCAACCGCTCCCCTCACACTTCCCCGGTGTGGATCCCCAAATTTGGGATTGGGCTTTGGCGGAATACAATGGCGATTTACAATCTTCAGCCCGGGGGGTTTGCATGGAAGCTTTCCCGGTTGTCCCGGGCAAATTCCTAAATATAGGGTACGGGTTTCTGATTTATGGCCTTTGGCATCCTTCTTTGGCTCCTTTCCTTTTGGAATCTTCTTTTTTGGAGGTTTTATCGATTGATCCAGGAAATTCTCATTCGGCTCCACTTTGCAATGGATGGGTAACAAAGGGGACAAAGGCATTGCCGGCAACTCTGTGGAGGAATACGTGAACAAGCCATGCCCTTGAACAGACGGTAATCAGGGTGGAAGAAATTTGTCTTCCAATCAACATATCTTTGAAATTTGAATGGGGGTCCTTGTTGCCATGCCGATATTGTATATACCTTTCACCTGCAATTGGTCGAAGAAAAGAATTATTTGCAAGAAGACGGACGCGTTGCGCAGCCACCTCTTTATTACCTTCTGACGTGATTGATTGGGTATGTGTTTATTAATGCAAATGCTAAATCGCTTTAGCACAGAAATAGTAATTGTCTTAGATGTATTTTTGCCTATGCCGGTGCCATTTTATATATCATGTACGTGGTTGTTGCATTAAACAAAGATCTCCAATTTCTTAATTATTAAATTCTTGGAAAATTGTTAAATGATCCATTCGGCCGTAGAAAAATCAAATTCGTTAATTGTGCGAAAAATTAATTCGTCTTTTTATTGCATTTTTTGGCCTAATACCTGGAGAAGGCCGTACAAATAATGCGGATTAAAGATGATTTGCCAAAACCTATCGCACCGTATATCGAAAATATTTTTTCCTTGCAAAAACGAAAAATAACAATAGATTCTTTAAATACACAGATATTAATATCGGCGAATGAGAAATGCGACCATTTATGTAATTCCCAAGAGATTTTTCTCCAAGACGTTCAAGCCATTTATAAATGGACTCTGGTGTATGAAATGGTAGACTTCCAATTATAGTGTTTAAACTTAAAATTTCCAAGTGTAAATTTAATAAAATCAAAGCCAAGACGAAAATCCAACAACACATCAAAACAAACGGAGATCCACATAATATCATCCTATAGAAAATAACAACGCCCAACGGATTAAGATAGAAATAATATTTAATATAAATTATATATAAAAATATATCTATATAAAGGCTCATCTAGCTTGAACCGGGTGTCTTCCAAATAACAAATGGGTGTTTGATCTGGAATAGAACCTTGTTGTCATGTTTCTTGCTGGCTCCGTTAAAAGCATGTAATACAACCATGTAGTTTATTCGGTCCTGTTTGGGAGCAAAGAGCTCTAAGAATGAGGCGACATCCACATGCGCCTGATACACGCAAGACTGACCTATATATACGGTCATGGAACTTCAAGATTTTAGATTTCTTCGTAGTGGGCAGCCATGCCAGCGTGGAGATATGATGATGATGGAGACGTTACGTGTGAAGAATATGCAGAGACCATCTCCTTCCTCACAACCACGAACATAATCCACCGCTTCTGGCGCCACAGCCAAACACCACTATTTCAAAAGTTTTGCGCCACATTTTGATAGAGCTTTCGCTTCAAGATTTTTAAAGCGCTTGGATGGAGAACGTGGGCCTGTCGGAGCTGCAAAAAAAAAGGCTTGACTTTGACCGGGACGCTGCAACTTCAATAGGTCCAACTCGTACTTCACACAATTTGCCAGATCTTTCTCGACCCTCTGCGGAATCATGTATTGATCTAGGTCTGTGCGGCCCCGAGGGTTGCCTGAGCCAGCTGGAAGCACCAACCACTACGATTATATGTTGATTGCTCAAAATGCCCAACTTGGAAGTAAGAAATTTTCTCGGTTTGACATTTACCTTGTATTGGTGCTCAGGAGCGGAGGCTCAACGATCTTGAATTGGAAGATTATATTTGGAGCAGTCGGACGCAAATACTTGAAGCTTATAGGTGCAATGTGCGCCCGAAGCTTCGGTGCCTTGCGCCCGGCCAAGCTCGATCAATGGGGCCTTGCAGGAATGAATGAGTTGGATGGATTTTTTGAAAAACCTATCGCAATTAAATAAGGAAAACAAAAACCCGTCAAACTTTCCAACTCATCCCCAACTTCAAAAAGTGATGGATTTTTCCAAAACCTATGGAATTGTGATGGTTTTTTAAAAAAACCCATCGCTTTTCTAGGGCCAACCGAGCTTCCAGATTGTGATGGGTTTTCTAAGCAAAACCACTCAGCCAAATGGATTTGGCCACCAAAAATATAATGGATTTTTTAAAAAAATCGTCGCAATTTAACCAACCAAATCCAGTTGGCCAGGAAAACCTCGAACACTTAATATACCTAAGGTCCAATCACTTTATATTTGGAGTAACGAAGTGTTACAAAATTTATTTGGCATAAAAGATTTATCACGGTTTTGTTAGTTCAATAAAAACACTTCAATTTCCAACAAAAAGACCAAAGCAGAAGGGCCGGGGCTTTAAGCTGGGTGCACTTAACCTAGGTAGGCTATTTAATTGCCAACTAGCAGCCGGTATGCCAGTTTATTAGCAAGCACAACCTGTTTGAATTTGTAGTATTAGCTTCTTGAAGCTTTAAATTTCTACAGGGGCTTTAGGACGAGGTAAGAGTTGTTCGAATAAAACGATTACGTCCGTTAAAAGTTGCCTTAGAACCTTCGTAATTCTTAGAACCGCGACTTATTAAGGCGATGTGGTAATAAAAAAACAATATCGCATTACATAGACGATCAAAATGAAAAATAGCATAAGCGAAGATTCAATCTTTCTAATTACAATGGGTGCATGGAGCCTATTATTCAAATTTAATGCTATTTGTTATCATTATAGTTTAAAATAAATACCACGCGATTAATATAAATGTTCATTATTTACTAATTACAATAAATTTTATAAATCCATAAAAAATATTACCAATTAGTAGTTTAAAATTTATCAAATAGATGGAAATTAACATACCTATTTATTAGTTTGAAAATATTCAATTCAACCTAAATAAACCTATAAATAAATAAATAAATCTAATTAAAATAATTAACATTATATATTTAAAAAACAATCAAATATATTTTCGACAATATACCAATTATATTATTAAAATTAAATTAATAACATAAAATAAAAAACCTTCCATACAAAACAAAAAAATACAAAATTACAATCAAAACATAGCAATATAAATATACATAAATATAAATTAATATATATACAATGTGGGTTTAAAAAATCTAAATATTAAACATATATATTCGATAATTTCATCGTAATTCATGAAATATTTCGATATTGTTATCTATATAAATTCCCTAATATATTTGTGTTAACCAATTCCTTTTCTTTAAATTATGAATTCTGAATCTAAAAATATACGGTATAATTAAATATTGACAATTATTGGTGTTTATTGTTTGTTTTGATATTTATTCTCAATCAGGATGTTGAATCAATTCAAAGAATTCCTTCAATGGAATGATTGAATCCAGAAGAAAATCAGAAAATACATTGTTTTCGGTGTCTGCGATTACATTATCTCCGGTCCTTTCCCAATTCTCTGTAGTCGGTGGTGAGCTCCTGCAATGTTTCGAAGATTCCCAACGATTGTTGGAGTTGACGCAAGAATTCCTGACCCAAGATGCTGTTGTGCTAATTCTTACTATGACTTATGAAACATGCCAAGAATGGGTTTTCGTGAACGCTTCTAAAAAGGCCCCTAGTAGAGAACCATAGAGAACCAAACAATTTCCAAGACATTTCGGGACAAATCACGCCGCTCTCGAGAAAACACACTCCTCACCAGCTTGGATCTCACGCCTGGCGTGCATGTTTTCCACAAAAGCAAAGCTCTGCTCTAGATCAATAAATAATCCGTTAATCCATCCATCCGAAGGAACCAATATCCAATTATGGAATGACAAATCCCAAAGATCATCCATCAAAGGGATCCAAAATGATCCAAAGATCCATACCTCACGAAGAATAGTCACTTGAAGTGTCTTGAAGCTTCCTTACTCATATAAAATTAAACATGTAAAAAACATGGCTTGCCTGGTGACAAAGGAGTTGTATCCGCCTTCTTCTTCCGCCTTAGACGGTATGTCGTCTTTAGGCTGGGAACCCAACATGCAAGAAAACGTATTGATCAGTAATAGGCATGTTTGGCACTGATGTAGTACTACCAATCCCTTGTAACATGGGGCAAAAGGAATGTAACATAAGAATTCAAAAGAGGTGTTGGTGTCGTGTCCAAAGAGACCTGCACCTCAAAGTTGCATGAAACTTCCGATTCTTTCTTGAAGACCTGGACAGATGACCGTGGTCATGGATAAGCCTCTTTCGAACTGAACTACAGTAGTCTCTCTCATACAACCATCCTGACTAACTATTCCAAAGATTTCCTGCAAGTGACCTTTAATGACCTAGCGCTCGCTGCCTTCGTTACACTGCAAGTGTCGCTTGGACCCAGGCATCTTGAAACTCGATATTTGGATCATCGGAGTGGTTTAAATACCTGCCAAGACAGCTGCGATCAAAGCCAAAGACAGCAGCGCAGGTGACTACTCGAACTAAACTGTCGTGACCGACTTTCTTCCATGTGGAAGCTCCACACATCCAGTTTTGCCAGGAGACCTGGCTAGGGCAAAAGACCCACAAACATGGCAGGGGAACCAAGATAGGTTCAAATTGTTCATGCCAGTCGAAAGCACGCCATAGATGATCTGTGTCAGCACATGGTAGTGTTCCCACTCTGATCATCTACAATGTAAACATTGGGTGGCCAATGGTCACATGTCACATGGTCACGTGAAAGGCTTCTACATCGCGGCCACCTCACCCTTCCGATTGGTCTGCGGTGTCCAGCCATCATCTTCAGTCAATGCAGCAAAGAAGGACTTGACCTCAGAAACACGAGCGCTTCTAGTGACACCGAGGAACTTTGCCCCTTCGCCCAAGTCAATCAAAATAATCGATGACAAGCCTGTAACTAACCGCCTACTAGCTGTCACATACCAACTGCAACGAATGAAACAACAATTCCCTCTTCATTGAACATTATGATTTAAATAAAAGCATTGACACCCCAGTTCGTGTAAGCATGCACAAGGAGGGAATGCAGATGCATTGTTACAAAGCAACACTCCATGTATCCCGGAATTCCTCCGAGGACTGCACTTTCTCGAACACCCCAGGTGGCATTGCCCTGAGTTCTTCTGCAGAGAGAACACAAAAGCGCTCCTCGCAGCGAACACTTTCAAGCGCTCAAGTCCTTCGTGTCGAAAACACGTCTTGAGTGAATTTCGGCCGTCCTTGGCTGCCATGTGCATATTGCAAATGGGGAAGGGATCCACTCCCTTTGGGATCGGCCGGAAGGCGCGGACCCCCACCCCGGCGATGGGAGAGGCAAAGAGCTCCACGTAAGCCTGGTCAACCCATGCAGTTTGTCAGCATCTTTAGTCAACAAAGGACGCAATTGATGTGTCGGTCAATGTCAACACAATGGAATGGTTGCAAACCTGTTGTGGGCCAATTGCATATCTACAACTTAACATCAAGTTGCGTGCTTTTAGTACCTTTTATGTTTGGTTATGGGTTTTCTGGTGTTAAACGTGAAGGTGGAGGAGGATTTCAATTCTACTTTGTAAGTGGTAGTTAGGTGCTGTAAAAGTTTGCTACTTCTTGCTCCATGTTAGACAGCTCACCAACATCTAGCCCTTCACATGACTTGTGTGTGGCAGGCCACAAATTTGTCCATTCTCGCTTGTCAGAGGCAGAGTCTTCAGGTGACAGATCGTCCGTCCTCGCTGCGATGGCGTCGCGCATGTGGTCATTGTCTAGAGTGCATGAGAGATTCTTTTGGAAGCAAAGATGACTACAGTAATCTAGCGTACGAACCATATGTCTCAAAGCTTTTTATTGGGCCCATGTCTGCCCGCTTGTTGGACCTTTCAATTTTCCACACTAGCAATCCGGGAATATCTGCAACTGTCTGCTCGCCTGCTCCTGCAAATGCTTGATCAGCCGCTGCTTGTCCTCCAGCAACGCACCATTGCAAACCGCAAACACCATGTGAAAGCAAACCTGCCAAAGGTGCTAAGTCGCTGATAGATTCATCATGATTCACCTGTGGAGACCGGCGGGCTTTTCGTTCATTCATCGCCGCAGCTTTCGCGCTGCTTTCTAACTTGACAGCTGCAGTTTGGTGTTGGCCGACCTGACGGTGCATTCGGCCGACCTGACGGTGCCAAACACACAAAACGTGCTGCGCTCACTGAGCGCAGTACAAAAACTCCGCGTGCTTGAGATGTCTTGCGGTGCTCCTGCGGAGCACAGCGAACATCAGGACACGCGACCGGGGGGGTTCGTCGACCGAGGCAAGCTTCCTGGGCCGAGGCTTCATCAAAAGGCTGGAGCCTGCGAGCCGCGATTTCGCGGGGTTGATGGATGGTTGATGGTCGAAAATTCCAAGTTCCAAGAGTTTGTCCATGTCATGTTAGGATAAACTGGAGCTTAAACTCTCTGCTGCGAGATACAGTACCAGGATGGATGATTAAAACGCTTGAGATACCAGGAGATACAGAAAGGGTTTGATGGATGAATACAACATGGAGATACCTGGAGTTTCAACTCTCTGCTGCGCCTTTCTTGGGCTTCTCCCCGTGCTCCACTGCAGCCTCTGCTTGTTCAGCGGCCGTTTGTTCTTTGAGGATCTTCTCAGCATCTTCCAAAGCCGCCGCCTGGGCATCAGTCACTTGGTAAAGAAGGTGAAGATTTCGATTGTGGAGGGGTGGGTCGACACTTGAGATCTGCCGCAGATTCCAGAGTCGTCGATGTTTCTTAAACCGCCTCGTCTCCTTCTGCTTTCCTTCCCTCATCTGCAAGGACCTGCACACAAGCGTGGAGTCAGGGTTGGAGAATGGGAATGTGCGTCCCAGTCTGGCCTTGTTGAAGCTGTCCTAACGCAAGATCTCGCCCCCAACAAAGCACCAACATGCTATTGATGCAAAAGCGATTAAGAAATGAAGCAAAAACCTCTAGTGCAGTTTTATTCTGTTGTCATCTGTAACTCTGGAACCTTCCATTTTGCTCTACACTGGATAAATCTCAATGTCCAGAAGCACTCAAACTCATGTCCTTCTTAGCTTGAACGTTGTCCCGAGCAGACACAGCCTTCTCTTTCTGCTGATTATATTCACCTCCATGGCAGCTTGAGCACATCATCCACGTCTAAACAAATATCACCCCAACAGCCTTCTTCTCTTCACGCCCTTCTCATCACTGCCATCTTGTGGACTCTAGAGCTTCCAAGTCTAAAGGTATATAACTGCGGTTCATGTGTGACCTTTTCCTTACTAGTATGACATGGTGATCATCTTGCTTCTGACATTGATGTCCACCACCAAACCGGGAAGCAACCAAAGCGGATCAGCCAGGTCCACGCTTGCTGCCAAGCATCTGACGGCATCTTGGACGCCTTTCAGAGCCTCTCAGAATGCCGGCACCGCCCCAACGATTCTCTTTAGCAAGCAACACTCAAGAAGCATAGAATTTCAAACCGTTGGCTGGTGAACAGATTCACTCGCCCATGGTTTTGAGATGTTTTGAGATTCCCCGAAGCAAACCTTCGCATTCTCGCATCTCGGCCTCTCCCTCCTTCATGGCTTCATCTCTAGCTTGTTCCACTGCTGCCTCAACTGCACCAGTGGCACGGCAGCCACGAGTCGCACGACTCGCTGAGCTCGTGGCTTCATCGGAACATCCATGCAGGCTGGTGGCCTGGGTCAGGTCGGCCAGGCTTCACCGCACAGCGGTAGCGGTCTCGGTGAGATGAAACGGTTTCATTGTCTATGACCCCTTTACACTCGGTTTCCAGATTGGCATAGTCTTCTCTTGGAAAACACATTCATGTTCAAAAATCCATCAAAGGTGCCCACGAGATGTGGATGTTTGATGTGTAATGAAACGGTACTGTGGGTTTCAACAAGCCAATCGTGAACGCCATACTGCTCGTTCCTTTGAACGTTTGCATCATCTATATCATCTGTCTTGACAAAGACTGGATTTTGTTGGCCTCAAATCCTCATGTTCTCGTACTGAAGCGGCATCTGCTGGCCAAGTGGCAATGCCCAGCAAACAGCCCAGGAAAAGAATGTTCACCTGGGTAAGGCAATTGGCAGTTGCTTGACAAGCGGGGGTCTCAACAATGTATGTGAACAGGTGTGGACCCATGTATATATGCATATCTGTATATGTATTATATAAATATTTATGGTTATATTTATATATATGTATATATTTTGACGTATTATATGCATTATGTAATACCTATATAGTATAATATATATATATATGCGTATACATGCATCCATTCCATTCCATTCCATTCCATTCCAATACCAATACCAATACAATACAATATTACATTACATACATACATACATACATACCATACCACACCACACCATACACCATACACCATACACCATACACCATACCATACCATACGATATCATACCATAAGTACCAATACCAATACAATACATACATTACATTACATACATACATACATACATACATACATAAATAAATACATTACATTACATTACATTACATTAAGTCAATTTAAACTAAATTAAAGTAAATTAAACTGATAATTTTGAATCAAATACATACATACATACACACATCATACATGCAGACATGCATACATCCATACATACATTAACACATTACATATACTACATACATTACATACGTTACATACATAACATCACATAACATAACATAACACAACACAGCATAACATACATACATACATACATACATTACATTACATTACATTACATTACATTACATTACATTAATACATACATGCATACATACATACATACAAACATACATACATACATACATTACATACACTTGAGAGAGGAGGGGGTGAGCACCTTCTACGACACAATTGACCTCCAGCTCCTTCAGCAAACGGCACAAGACTTGCGATACCCACCCTTGGCTCTGGAGTTTGCCATGCAAGTCTACACTGGACACTAGCAGAAGGGGAGATCAGCCCATGGTTCCATGTCACAAGCGGGGTGGCAGCGGGATGCCCACAAGCACCACTACTAGCCAAGACGCTGCAGCCCATCCTCACCCAATTCCAACAGGACAACCGGGACCTGCGCCTCAATGGATCGGTCGATGATGTAGGTTTTGATGGCAGCATCTAGCCCAGCGGACACTTCAGGCCTGGCATCAGCTTCGAGACGGGCTGAAAGGGGTTGGGTTGGTTGTCAATAGCCACAAAACAGCCTTCATCGTCACAGATAAGACCATCCACAAAGAGCTGGCCAATCTCATGAGTCCCAACGACCCACCAATCCAGACGGTGATGCGAGACTTGGGCATTGACCACTCAGCGGGCAGACGGCGGAGGATAGCTACACTGCAACAACGATTCCGCAAAAACAAACAACGGAGGATCAAGCTTCGCAGTCTCAAGCTCCCCAATCTCCGCACCAGGCTCCGCCTACATCGAGGAGGAGTCCAACCAGCACTTAGGCCTCCACCAGGGGTTGCTGGACCCATTCGAAGAGCCCTTATGGGCCCATGGCTGGGTACCCAAAGAACCACAAGACCATCTGCAAGTCCAGGGGCAAGGGTGTTGGAACACCTTGGAACCAATGCCGCTGCAACCATGGCAAGGTTTGTCGGTCACCTTGGATGCCACACCATCCTCCTACGACCAGAGATCCCAGGCGTGGATTTTCGCGCTTTGTATCCACACCTTTTTGCTGGGGACACTACTGAGGAAAGGTACCATAACGGGCATGGCACCAGGTCAACAGACCAAAGCCCGGGCATTGTTTCAAGGCCTCATCACGTTAGCCCAGCGTGTTCTCACCCCGATCAACGTGATCATCCAGCTGGGCTCAGTTTGGGAAGCTTGGACAAATCCCACAAAAAGGAAAGGATTCGAAGACCTTGCCAAGGGTTTCGATGAGGACCTCTTCCGCCGCATCGCACCTCTGTACATCCACAAGAATCAGAGGACCCCAGAGCGAGCCACACCTCAGGAGGAGGCAAAGGGATGCAGCATTGGCAGCCTATGAAAGGGCATCCACAATCTACGATCAGCACGCAGAAGCCTGGCAAAGGACCCTCGACCAAGACCACCTCCAGGTCTACAAACATGCAGCAGCAAGGCTCGAGAAGACCTACAAAGACCCACAACACTACATCATCAACCAGTGCAAGCTCAGGGAAGCCAGAGAAGCACCAGTGGGAACCACGCAGGAGCGGGTTCCAATGCCACACGTGCCACACAAGGGTGCACCAAGCCTTGACTGTTCAGATCATTGAACAACGCCTTCAGCAAGACTGTGAACTTTTGGCACACGAGGCCCCGGAACCAGACCTACGGCACAACAAACCAGTGGGACAGAAAACCACCAGAGCAAGCACCATCAAGCAATTGTTGGATCTCCAACAACAGCAGCCACGAGTGGCAGATGAGCACAATCTCCAAGAGACGACCGGCTATCTGAGGTGCACCAAGTGTAGCCTATCCATCCACAAAAGAACAAATGAAGAGAGCTTCCAAGCCTTCATCCGCAGCCGCTGCGTTGATGAGAGCTACACAAAGCCCCATGCAGGACACACAACCCACTCCCTGTGGCAGAAAGGCAAAGGGATAAAGTGTCTCAACTGCGGGACCCAGAGCCACCTGGATGCAGAGGAGAGGCTGGTGATGACCAAGACGCTTACGAAGGCATGCCAGAGTAACTAAGGGTAACACCCAAAGATCGCCCACACTGCTCCAGATCTTTCGAACACAATCCCAAAGCTCCAAAGCTACAGCCACACAGGTGGTAACAACCACAGCTGGCCATGATACTCAGCCGGACCAACAGGCAACTGCAGTCACCACACGCCAAGAAACCCAGCCACTGGAGGACACCGACCAGCACAAGACAGACAACCCCTGAGGCAAGCGCCATGGAACAGGAACAGAACCAGACAAGACCAGGAGCTGGAAATGATGCCAGAACCGAGGGGACCGAGGAGGAACC